GTGCGTGCAAGCGTGCTTGCTTGTGTTTGTGTGCACGTGTGCGTGCGTGTGCATGTGCGCGTGCTTGTGTGTGCGTGCAAGCGTGCTTGCTCGTGTTTGTGTGCACGTGTGCATGTGTGCGTGTGTGTGCGTGCGTGCAAGCGTGCTTGCTTGTGTTTGTGTGCACGTGTGCGTGCGTGTGCATGTGTGCGTGCAAGCGTGCTTGCTTGTGTTTGTGTGCACGTGTGCGTGCGTGTGCATGTGTGCGTGCGTGTGCTTACAGCGCGGAGCAGCGGACGCGTATGTAGAGGGTGCTTACACGTGTCGACGACGTCGGTGACGTTCTTGTACGATTCCGGCGCCTCCTCCATGACGAGCTTTGGCGAGGCGACGCGAATGGAGATGCCCTTTGCCTCCAGTTTCTCCAGTACCTCCATGTAATCCAGGTTCCTGCGCGACTTTGCACGCGAGTACGCCCGACCCTGCAACGACACACACACAGAGCTGCCGAATCGTGACACCAGAAGGCGCAACGGGGCAAGCGGGCAAACAAACTGCATGCAGTGCCCTCTTCGCACAACTCAGGATACCACTGCCGCAAGGCTAGCACTATTTTTAAAGTGGGCAGAGCTCCGGGGAAATCCAGCGAATGGAGATTCGTAAACAGCGTACGATTTGAAAGAGGTAAATGGGAGAAACGGGGGGGCAAAGGGGCAAGCTCGGAGGTTGTGCGTTGTAGCGGCACCTTCACGTGAGCCGAGGGCAAATCAGATGAGCTAGTCAGCAGACGATGATTAATTGACTTAGCAAAATGACGATAATTAAATGATGAGAGTAATTCATTAGAAGGGCTCATCAGCACGTTAGATGAGGGACAGTAATGGTGCAGTGTGACAAAGTCCTACCATATCTAAAATGCAACCGCCACTCTAAATATCATAGCCGCCATGCTAAAATTAGCTAAAAAATGCTAAAAATGCTAAAACTAGGACTGTAAAGGCAGCCCCGCCATGCTATAATGAAAAAGCTTGGAGAACCCTGAGTGTGAGCGCGAAGACCACACCCTGCCCTCACATGATATATTGCTGCTGGCTCGGTCAAGCTAACGCTGGTTATACATTTAATCATGCACTCCCAGAACCTCGCACTCTGTGCCACTCCAGTGCCAAGCATCGCCTTTAGAATGTCCTATTGCAGCGCGGACTGGCTATAGAGTGTGTCACACCAGGCAGATTCAGGTGCGTTGTCTCAAGGTTAGAGTAGGAGCTAGTCGCGCCAGGGCAGGTTGCTGCGATGTGTGCGGGGCAGGGGGCCGTTGTCAGAAACACCGTAAGAGAATAGCATTGACAGAAACATCACAGCTATGAGAAAACTCACGATAACAGGAACTTCATAATTTGATGTCACAAGGCTGCTGATTGGATGAGAATCGATCACAAAACTCAAATTCATACACATTTATTGTACATCACAGTAATTGATGCATATCATGATAGGTAACCACAAATAAATAATATTTGATGAAAAACGACACGGTCTTGAATTTATTCTGCACAACAAGACAAATTCTGACGCTGTAACACGAGACGCAAGAGTCGTGACTTCTCAAAATATCTCAAACAAGAAAACACGCGCCATTTGTAAATGTTTGTTTTGGTTTACGATCGATAGATAATTAATGTTTTTGACATGACTATCACGAAAAACACACATTTTACTCATTATTATAAAATATAATATCACTATAATTGTACTTCTTAGCGTAAACGTGTTATATTAAAGTTACAAGAAGGTCTGGGCTCTCGTAATGTGAGCAGGAAATTTCCGAGGATCTTTCGTTCTCGTAACCATACGATGTTTCTGTCAACGGTTTACTAATGTTAAGACTAATTTTCTTTTGTGAGAACGGCCCCCAGGTTGATGCAATGTGTGCTGCGCTGCAATCGTGTGCCGCGGCTGCTGCGGCTGCTCTCTATCTCTATCTCTATCTGTATCCCTATCCCATATCTCTATCTCTATCTCTATCCCTATCTCTATCTCAATCGCTATCTCTATCTCGACCTCTATCCCTATCTCTATCTCTATCTTTATATCTATACTCACGGCTCCGTGACAGGTCGTGCCGAACGTCTCCTTCATGCCCTGCTCTGTGCCGGTGAGCACGTAGCTGCATGTACCCATCGTTCCCCCAATGAGCACCGGCTGGCCTGTCAGCTGAAACACACACTTGTAGATTATACATACATGCATGCACACATACACACACACGCACGCACGCACGCACGCACGCACGCACGCACGCACGCACGCACACACACACACATACATACATAATTTGTATATATATATGTGTAAAGAAGAAGCCTGAACAGCCTCTACGGGGCACAGCTTTACTTGAGTTTCCCCACGTAGATTTAGTTTGCTGGTTGGATGTTGTTATGCCATTGTATATTATATAAAGCTGTTTTGTTAAAGGGAGAGTTTACTCTAGGTTTTAGGGTTATTTTCAGCTAATTTAGGTTATAATTACGCTGCCTACATAAAAGGTTTCATCGTTCAATCACCATAGAAATATTTTTTTTTAATGTTTTAAAACTAACGACTAAGTTTGATTGCAACGACGGCGCCATCAAAGCGCAGACGATCTGATAAGTTGCGTAAAACCACTTATCCAGCAAGGGCTACAGACCGAGGGTGTTTCTTATTTATTCATTTAAAAGCAAAAGGATTGTAATATCTTATAAACGACATATAGTTTCAAGTTATAATATGGATAAATTTGCCTTAAAATGAATTATCGTTCGGTTAAATAGCATTCTAGGTATAAGATATATTGCACTTTTGTGATTACGCCCTCCGTCTGTAACGTGCAAAATAAATTGTCAAATACGCAACTTTTCGGGGTGGCAGCACGGTCTGCGGTGTCATGGCGCCGTTCAAATTTAGTAGCGTTGATGTGTAATTAATTATAACAATTAAATTATGTATCTGGTAACAAATACGTGTGGGTATAGACGATTTGTTATACAGTAAGTACAGTTGTATGCAGTAAAATCCTAGAGGCTACTGTCCCTTTAGAAGATGCTACACAAACGTTAGCAGTGAACATATTATTATATACATATATATCAGGAGTTAATAATAACAAAACATAAATTTGTCATTATTAACTCCTGATTATATATATTTATATATATATATGTACTGCCAGGTGCATGCTGTACTGCTGTTCTCTACCATAGCAGTTAGTATGTAGCTTAAAAGCACGCCAGACACGTACGAATGCATGACGCACGCACGCACGCACGCACGCACGCACACACACACATACGCACACAACACACACACACACAAGCTTAAAAGCACTGCACACACGTACGCACGCACGCACGCACACACATTGATATAAGAATAATACCTTGTATGCGTGTACATTTATATTGTACTGTAGGCTATACGTATTTCCGTTCATAGATACTATCAATGAATCCCTCCTGGCTGTTCACCCCGCTATGCTGAACACTTTCATACGCAGTTTTGTCACCAAGCTACATTACATCTGGCAGGATATTACACATGATCCTTTTCTGGATTCCTTTCGAAATCATTCTGTGTTTCTCTTCCGCACAAATGTCCAAATGTATACGATGATAGCGACCTTTCCTTTATCTACTCTTTCTTTTCCTCCTCCCACTCTCATCTCATTCAATCTCCTTCTCTTATTCTCTCTCATTCTCCCCTTTTCGTCTCTCTCCCTTTCTCCATCATACAGTCTCTTACTGGCGTTCACAACAACGGCCAACAGTGACAATAAAAATGAATTCACCCATAAAATCCTGAATACATTATTCTCTATATCAGATTATAGTATGCATTAAATTCACACCGAATCTATTAATAGAACTAGAAATTACTTTCATATGATTTAGAGAAATTTCAGATTCTTTGAAGATGCCCCGGCTCTTAATATGCATCAATTAATGAATAATTAAACTAACAAATTATAATTATATTCATAAATATATAGACTTTATCTGCGATCAAAGATAATTAGGACGATGGGAGGGCATAGAATTTTATAACCATTACCAGTAATTTAGCTTTTAATTCACTTGACTATGAGTCGCCATGATCATAACCCTGTAATTAAATCCATTGTTTACCCACGACTAGCCACAAGATCGATAATTTTAC